CGAGCTGAACAAGGGCGCCACTGATGGACATGCTAAAATGAATGAGGTCCGCAAGGCCTCGACCCTACATACAAAACACTACAGACAACTGAGGAAAGCGGGGAGTGGGAGAGGGGCTCTTCCCTAGGGAAGAGCATACCAAATGATTGTCCAGCGCCAAACAGTCAGCCCTGAAAACATACCCACAAGCACATTATATGGATTGAGCAAGTTATATTTAGGGCCAGGAGTGTGTACACAATAACAAAAAAGCGGGCCGTGATTTGAAGGAGAGTAGGGAGGAGTATTTGGGAAGTTCTGGAGGGAGGGAGGGGGAGGGGGAGATGTTATTGTGTTATAATCTCAAAAATTAAAACAAACACCCGCCTAGATATATTTATGCCCACCATGGAACAATGTTTAAACACCCTCTCTACTATGGTTCTGGAGCAAAGTGCTAATTAAACTTGTTCCTTAGAGATGGCTGGAACTGTTCCAGACAGAATAAAAATCAATAGTGACATTCTTTGCGCTCAGAGAATTCCCAAGTATAAATTTAGTTTTCCATGGATTTCCCACAAGCAACCACCTTTGATCGGTCGGGGAACAGGGCTTGCAAATGGAAGGCTCCCTGGGGCGGAGAGATGGGTTGAATGGGGTCTAGTGCTCTCAATTTGAAAAATACAAAATTGGAAAATAAAATGGCTGTCTAAGCTGGCCAGCATGTCCCATAAAGCATGTTGATCAAAGATGCAGTTTCTGAAACACTGAGGAATGACTAAGGGAATCTATGGGGATGCAGGGGAGTCAGAGCGGCTAAAACCTGGTCCCGGTTGTCCCATCGGCAGACAGCAATGCCCTGATAGATGCTGCTTAGGGAAACATAATGTTTCTTTAAACATTCAATTATGGCTACACAAACACATATTTTAAGCCACCGGCAGATCTCTGGACAAATTAGGGATGCTAGAAGGCAAACCAAACAGATTCCCTGAAATGAGTATTTAATAAGAAGCCAGCCCTGTGAAGAACTGTCTTACCGTGGAGGAATTTGCTAAGGATAATGAGGGGACTCTGCCAGAATCAGCTTTAGATGATAGCTCTTATGACTGAAGGGGACAAGGCCACTCTTAGTTCAGTTTTAATTGCTGAGCAGGTTTTTAATTATAACAGATTTCAGGGTACCCAGGGGTTTGGTGCTCAATAGGTAGACCATCTTTGCTCTCTGGGAGTTGCCAGAGGATGTTCAAAGGTCTTTAAAAAGGGCCCTGCGCTGGATGTCCTTCCATGACTGGCACACACGTCATCCTTCCTCTTTTAAACATTCCTAAGTCTTGACATTTTAAAATGAAATTCTTTCCTAACTTATAATATGGTATATTCTTATTGTAAAATGATAAAGGCTTTTATAATTCCTATGTCCACAGCAATGTGGCACGCATGTCGTTTAAAAACGGACACCATGTATGCCATTTCCTAACATGATATTTACATTGGGTACATCACGAAATTTCTTTTTGATAGTAAAGTTCTTCATCATTTTAATATCTCCCGCCAATATAATTTTGAGGAAGAGACTCCACAGTGAATGACTTTGAACCTGGAGCTAACTCCTAGGCTGTAACAGGCTGGCCATCTGATTGGTCAGACCCTCAACTGTCCTGGATGCTAAATATTTAAATGACCTGTTCTTATTTCTTATAGCTTTATTTGAACAAACTTTCTAAATTGAAATTCCTGGGCCAAAGGCTATGGAAATTAAAATTTAATTATATGATGTTTGATTAATTACCTTTTGTGTCTGACAGCATGAGGGAAATCCTAACATTTTTACCCTGCTCACAAAATGGTACATTTTGGGGTATTCATTGCTTCATTTTTAATAGACGTGTAGCCTTCTTCTAGAAAGGTCACACTGCATATTTGGGCAAAGCATCATTAAAAGAGTAATAGCAGAACGTTCTAATTATGAAAACATTACTTTTAACAGAATGTGGTCGTTAAAGTTGGCACAGGTGGGGACTGAGGATGGAGCACACACAGGCCCTGGGTTTAATTACCAGCAGTGTGAAAATCAAAACTGGTACATCTAGCAATCAGTAAATCAAAGCTAGCGTCCAGAGGGGTAGGTTATGTCCTTGCCATATATTTTAAATTTATTACAATAGGTTTTTTTTATTAAGTTATTTTTTTCTTTTTGGCCAGGACTGGCCTGGAAATTCCCTATATAACCCATACTGGCCTTAAATTTATGGAGAATTTCCTGCCTCAGTCTCCAATGTGCTGAGATTACTATATACACCACCATGCCCAAGTAATCTATATACTTTTTAAAAAAAGATTTACTTTTATTTTATCTTTATGAGTGCTTTGCCTACACGCATGTCTGTGTACCGTGGACTGTAGTGCCCAGGGAGGCTAGAAGAGGGCACTGAGTTCCCTGAAATTGCAGTTACAGACAACAGGGAGCTGCCATGTGGATGCTAGGAACAGAACCCCAAGAGCTCATAACCTCCGAGCCATCTCTCCAGTCCCATAATCCGCACACCTCAAAAAAATGGGCTGATGAAGAGATTAGGAAGAAAAAAAGACATTGAGAAGAGAGGGTTTCTTGCTTCTAAGTTTTCTAATTCTGAGGTTATTTCAGGAAAGGCCCAAAGGGTTGGACAGGAATAAATCGAGGCACCTTGGGGATGATTTTCCACACAAATTATCCCCTGTCTTGTTGTCAGCCTGCATCACGCTATCTCCAGTAACAGGGCGAATCACTTCCAGAGGGAGCCATGAGCAGAACGATTAATTAAGCCACTTTCCAACCCAGAGAACCAGATGGGGCCAAGACAGTGTTTTATATGGAGGGGCAAGTCAATAATAACAAGTGAAATTAGAGTACGTAGGATTGTACAAAGACTCTGGTGTCAGCTCGAGAGACCAAAGCAAAGCCATGCTGCTAAGACAGGAATCCACCTTTGCGCTCACCCCGCCACCCAGGGTTTGCATGTTGGTTTATTTTGCTGTAACTCTTGGTGTCACCCCCTTGGCAGTGCTCTTGTCCTGTTCCGGAGCAGACTTTTTGCAGTAAAAAACCAGAAAGGATTTCATGAGATTTTTCCACTCTCTTACCTACATCCCTAAGATCGTGTGTAAATCAGGGTCACAGTCTTCCCCTGTGCTGGGCAACATGTTCCTTCAACAGCTAGATACCTGGAGCATACACCACACAGACATTTCTAAGCCCATGCTGCCAATAATAACAACCCATAGAGGACACGTGACACCACGGGCGTTCTTATGAGATTCCTGTTTGTTTTCCTGTGTCTTTCAGATAGCATCTAGAATACAAGCTTTTTTTTTTTTCTTTCTCATAGCTGTGACCAAATATTTGACAAGAAGCATCTTCAGGGGAGGTTTGTTCTGATTGACAGTTGGGGAGCACAGTCTATCATGGCAGAGAATGCATGGCAGCAGGGGTGTGAGGCAGCTGGCCACACTGTACCCACTGCCAAGAGCAGAGAGCAGATCAGTGAGACAGGCTATACAGCTGATCTACCTTCCCCAGAGAAGCCCCACCTCCTGAAGCTTTCACAACCTTCCAAAGTAGTGCTACCGTTTGAGAACCAAGTATTTAAACACATGAAGACAGTTCATATTCTAGCCACATTCCCTAGTTACCTCAATGGAGATATTTTTAAAGCCATATACTTGCAGCAATAAAAAAAAAAGTGAATTTCTCACAATATTCTTAAATGAACAAAAACAGAGGGGCTGAGGAGATTGCTCAGTGGCTATAGTTCTTGCTATATAAATATGGTGACTTAAATTTGGATCTCTAGCACCCACATAAAAGCCAATATCTACAATCCTAACACTAAAAAACAAAGACAAAAGGATCCTGAGGGCTTTGCCAGGGAAAACTTAGTTGTTTAGCTTCAGGCTCAATGAGAGACCCTGTCTCAAAAAGCACAGAGCAATTGAGGAAGTCAGCTTCTGGCTTACACATATAAATACACATCGATCTATGAGCGCGCACACACGCACACACGCGCGCGCGCGCACGTACACACCCTAATTAATTACAAAGTCTAGAAAGATCTTTAAAACATTTTCTTTCTGAAGGCAGAAACATAAAGGCAATATAATTTTCAGTTCAAGGCCCAAGTATTCAATCCATGTGCCTGAATCTATTTTCAAGTCATCAGGATATAAGAAAAGCTAATACATATCATATATTCACTGTTTTGCAAGCCTTTGATCTACTTGGTGGTGAAGGGTAGACATGTAAGAAGAAACGCAAAGTGGCAGCTTGCAGATCCCAGGGAGCAGGCTGTGTCATTTTATATATACCAACTGAAAGTACTGTGTGGCCTTAGATGCCGCATGGCAGGACATCTCTTCCATCTGGCTTTCTTAGCCACAAACTCTGATCTGATGAGCATCCTGATTTGCCCCCACCAAGATTCACTCTGGTTGCTGGGACTGTATGTCCCCAGTGGATGTCTTCCTTCTTCTCTCTGTCAGCTCCCTGACTCCCCACCCCATCTTACTGAAGAGTGAGGAAGAGAAGCTAGCTCCTGCTTTAATCCAGGTGGGACCTGGCAAATAGAGTTATTCCTTTAAACACAGACTGCTCGCTGGAAGACCTCATTAGCTAGAGGAAGAATTAAATAGATAAGAAAAGCCCTTTGTAACCGTGGCACTTGCGGGAGGACTGGTGTGGGAGGGGGCGTGAGATGGAGGTGAAGAGAGTTCTCAGTAGACACCACTTCACCTGAGAAGTCATACACAAAACGTAACAATACCCATGTTCTCAGAAAAGCAAACAAAACAAAAAACTGGAAATTTATAATTTCTCCCTTAAAGGGACAAATTTTTAAATAAAAACATAAGAGGAGTGTGTGTAATACTGGAGCAAACTTGTGAGATCAAATACATCCTGACGGTGACCTGATTACAGAACAGGTTTCAGCGAAGTGTCCTAACTTTCTCCTGTGGCTTTCTGAACGAGAATGGAGTTGACTTACTCGTTCCTTTCCAGACGTAGGATCAGTTCTCGGCTCTCCAGCTGCAGCTGCACAGTCAGCACATCTGGATGATCCTGGAAGATAGATAAGCAGGAAGTTAGCTGGAAAGCACTTGGCTTCACCTTGCCAATGTCCTGATGGTCGACATCACTATAGTCAGCAGAGAGGAAGGAGGGGGCTGTCAAGACTGATTTTGAGGGAGATGGAGGGGGCGGGGAAGAGGAGGGGGAGAAGCTGATTTTCTTCTTGGGGACTTTCTTTGACTCCAAGCACCAAGGACCAGAGTGGCAGAATTGGAAAATGGGACTCCTGGCCCTGATGTAGCCTTTGTACTTTTTCCTCTGTCTATTCCTCCTTTGAGCCTTTTCCCTCTGAACATCGACCCTGACCATCCCATCTATCCTTTCTCCTTGATCTTCCCCAAGCGCACAAAGGGCACCTCTATTCCTTACCTGCTCACAGTGGGAAAACCTAAAGTCCTCCCCTAGGCTCTCTGGCCACACCCACCCCTCTACTGACTGTAGCTGGTCCTGCAGAGCTCTAAAGCACCTCTCCTGCTGCCAAGGCCCCTCCTATCCTTCCCTCCACCTTTTTCCTGTTCAACTCACAGGCAACACTCAATATGTGCCTTCCTCCTGTCGACCCTTCTAACCCGGGTCCTCCTGGGTCCGCCTTTCTTCTCTTCCCATCCATCTTCTCTAACCATGGAAGGACACTTACAACTTCAGTCTTGCCCGAGCCTGTGCTCAGATCCTGGCATTTGATGGTTCCCCATGTCCTCTCCTTGACAGGCCTTTAGCTCCTTCAACACATGCCTACCCTGTCTTCCTTCCTCCCTCCTTACCTGGCTCTAGTTCCTGATCGTGCCTGCCCTTGGAATGCCAAGAGTTGTCTTGCTGCTCTGAGAACCTGCACATGCTGGCTTCTCTATCTGGGATGCGTTTCCTGTCTACTGGAATCAGCTTAAAAGTCAGCTAATAGGAGAAGCGTGACCTCAGCACCAATCTCCTGCTGCTCTGTCCTTTTCCCCTGAGAAGGAAGGGGCCTCATACCTACTTGTGATCAGTGTGTTGGCCTGTGCTTCTTTATAACGTTTATGAAAGTGCTGGGCCAATCATAGGTGGAAGTGAAGGAAGGAGTCCATCCCTGCTAGGGAAGTGGCTCTGCAGATCTCTCTTTCTTACTCTTGCTCTACCGCCCTCCCTCCCCCCTGCTTCTCTTGGCTAACCCATTTACCCACACATCTGGGGATGCAGTGCAGTCCTAGGGATGGTGCCGCCCACATTTAGGAATGCGGCTTCCTACCTCAGTGAACCCAGTCTAGACAATCTCTCCCAGATATGCCCAGACACTTGTCTTCAAGATGATACTAGATCTTACCAAGTTGATGACCAGTTCAAACCACCATAGTATATTTGGAGGGGTCTGGTTAATTTAAAAAAAAAATCTAGTAGAGGAAGAGAAGGGAGGGAGACTTTCATTCCAATGCACTCACTGACGGGATAGTTTAGTTTAAAAGCATGCTTACATCCATTTTCCTAATTGTTATTGATTGAAGACCATCAAGCCCAACATTCCTTTTCTGAAGATGATATATTGATTGATCACCTAACAGAGCTACATCCTTTGTTGGATGTGCAAAGAACACTATTCATTGAACCAATCAATCAAATTCTAGTCAATATGCCAAAGACATTTAGGCAGTAACTATGATTTTATCTCTTAAACCGAGGAAAGTACCTCTAAACAAATATGCAAAGTGTATCGATGCACTTTTCAAAAACAATAAAATAATATGGTACCTACTCCGCAAATGAAAATACGGACTAGTCCCCGAGTTGTAGAAAGCACATTTTTCTAGTTTGCTTTTCTGATTCTGTGGTAAGCACTGTCACCGAAAGAAACCTGGAGAGAAGAGGGTTTACGTGTCTTACAGATTATAGTCCATCGTTGGGGGAAGCCAAGGCAGGAACCGAAGCAATGGACCCGGAGGAATGCTACTTACTAGATTATTACACCCAGCTTGCTCAGTTACATTTATTATATCAAGCCCAGGTCTAACTGCATAAAGATAGAACTGTTTAAAGTAGGCCCATGCTGTCTTTCGCAAGTGTGTGCCCCAATCTTTTCTTATGAGGGCACCTGCCTTGTTAGGTTAGGACCTACCCATATGTTACAGATTGAATCTGAAATGCCCCTCTCAGGCTCATGTTTTGAATGCATGATTCCCAGTGTGAGATGCTATTATGACGTTGTGGCACATTTATGAAATGGAACCTACTGGCGGAGGTGGGGCGCTAAGTACAGGCACTTGAAGGCTCCTAGCCCCTGGATATGGCTTCACTTTCTGCTTCCTGGTCCATGCTCAGGTGAGTAGCTGCTGCCAATGTATTTCTGCGTCCATAAGTTGGGCCGCCACAGCATTCATTCCCTGCCAGGATGACTGAAATTGATGATGAGCCAAAATTGATCTTTTCTTTCTTAATATATCCTGTCAGGTATTTTGACCACAGTGATCGAAAGGTCATTATTGTACCCTATGACCTTAGTTTATCCAGGCAGCCTCTTAAAGGCCTCCAGATGTTCTACATGTCATGGTTGGGGGTTAGGGCTTCAGTAGATCTGGCAGGGCCAGGGACGTGGTTCACTCTACACGTCTCTTCTTCATTATTACATCCAACTCACTCCTTACACACAGATACAGACACACACACACACAGACACACAATTTTCAATGACTTAGAAAAATCTGACCCTGACCTTGAAGCTGAGGCCACGTGGCAATGACTTGGTACCAGACTGAGCAGCAGCAGAGACTCACCCTCAATAGCCGTGTCTATTCCCATCACAGCCTGAGGTCATCCTTTCCAAAGGACCCACTGAGAGCCAAAGCCATCCATCTGAACCATCCCCGCTGGAAGGTCAGGGGGATCTCATTTTTCAGGCGTAACAACAATATTAAAATACTGCATTCAAGGGAACTCGGGAATAACTAAATCCCTCTCCAGCACTAAATAAATGTTTCAGACTGCAGCCCTGGCATTCATGGGGCACAAGGGAGGCGTTTATTGCTATGAATATTTAGAGGCATCTTGATTACCACTTTAATATTAGCACGTTAGCTCTACAGCCTGCGAGATCTGCACACCACGGAATGCAGAGAAGACAAAACTGAACTAAATGCAGGACAGCACGGTGAGGAATTAAGGCAGCACCATCCCAGGAGGTCCCTGGCTTGGGGCCTATGTAGTTATTACATAAGTGATAGTGATTTTTATCGGTGAGCTGGTGATCTTTATTTTTTGCAGTGGAAAATTGGTATTAGCATGGCCATGTGTCCAGCTGTGAGCCGAGCCCAGGCTCTCCACAGTGAAAGCTGCTTGGATTGTTGCTCAGGGGTAGAGTACTTGTCTAGCATGTATAAGGCCCTGAGTTGGATACCTAGCACTGCCAATATGCACGGACACACATGAGCAAACACACACACGTGCACATGTGCACACACATGTTCATATGAAATGAGGTTTTATTTTTACTTTCCAATACTGGGTTCACTAATTATATCGGGTAATCGCTCCAACTTCATTTTGTGGCCTAGGACACACCATTGCTTTTCCCTCTGGAGAGTATAATGCATGTCTGAGAAAGTATATTCCTACCCTCTTCTGGCCCAGGCAGGGCTTTAGTTCGCCTTGACGCCCCCACCCTGGCCCAGTTCTTAATCTATTTATGATTATGGAATTAATTAACCCTCACGTTTGTAGCAAATGATTTAGATTTTTATAGATTTATGTTGGCCATGACCACCTTAGCAAGCCACGGGCTCTCTCCCTGGTTCTGCCTCTTCTAGCAAATATTACCGGTGGGTACTCATTTGTGTTTTCATTTATTTTTGAATGGTTCACTTCTCCCAGGAGAGCAGAATCACTGTGAAGGCAAGCACGCAAAGGCCCATCTATGCATGCTTTCTGTACCATGCATGGCTACCTAGAGACACACATAGGCGAAGGAGGGCATGGAGATGCAACGGGAGATCCCAAAAGAACACTTTACTTGGGGAGAAGAGAGACGCCACGACTGTAAACTTTCTCTCTGGAGGCATGAGAGGGATTCCAGACTCTCCTCACCACACACTGTTCCTGAGAAACACATTGAACCTCTCTAGAGCCTCACAGGCTGCCCGCCTCAGCCAAGAGTCTGACACCCCTGAGTGTCCCAGGAGGCTATGACACAGGACCCCTTACACAGTCAGTGAGAATGGATGTGTGTGTGTGTGTGTGTGTGTGTGTGTGTGTTGTTCTTCTGAGGGTGGGAGGCCGGTAGGGCTTGCTTTGGTTGAGAAAGGTGCTTCCAGTTTTCCACTCCCTACCCCTTGTGATGCTGGGAGAGACCCCAGAATGACAGGCCAGTACTGTGCTACACAGCCACACACCCCAGCCCCAAGGGAGCTGAAGGATTAATCTATCTATGGCCCTGGAGAAAACCAACAAGGGTGCTCCTTTCTAGTCTCTTAACACCCCAGAGATTCATTCCTGTGCACCTCAGTATTAAGACATCAAAGTAAAAGGGGAGGGCTCTGCCTAGGGTCACAGAAAAGAAGCGGAAAGACTTACGACTTGTGCATATTCCCGTAAGATTTGAGGTGAAGAGTCCAGGATGCGGCCAGGAGCAGAGAAACCCTGGGTCCACCCGCATTGGGCGCTGCTGGAGAGAGCCTGGCAGGGGGATTTCACGAAATTCCTCTCCTTAGAGGCCTGTCTCCTAATGATTTTGTCTTCTGGACCTCACGGAGACACGACAGTAACAAGACTGGTTGGTGACAGGATGGCCTGGGGGTGGTAAAGTGACGTGGTGGCCGATATGTAAGACTGTGTGGTGAGGTAATGACTTCATCGCTGTGCAGTTTAATGACATGACATCTGGAGGACAGGATGCCATAGACAGGGAGTCAGGGGACAGGACTGAGCTAGCATCAGCCTGCTGAAGTCTACCTCCAACAGGATCTTGCTGACAGTTCCCCAGCAGTCAGTGATGGGGGCCCTCAGCCCTGTCTGTCCTCTCCCCTCCTCCTGCC